CCGTTAAAAGTCTGGCAGCTGAGTTCTGAATGAGCTGCAAACGGGAGAGAGAAGCCTGACTCACACCCAGATACAATACATTACAATAATCCAAACGTGATGATACAAAGGCATGAACAACCTTCATATCGTCAAAAGAAAGGATAGATTTCAATTTAGAAATTGATCTAAGATGGAAAAAAAATATTCTTAACGACAGCATTGATTTGCCGGTCGAATTTAAGCTCAGAGTCAAAAATGACACCAAGGTTCCTCACGCTAGACAGTTTTTTCCCAGGAAACAACCCCAGGCAGTCATCATCCACACAGCCCTTATTTCCAAATAAAATCATCTCGGTCTTATCCTCATTTATTTGGAGAAAGTTATTCGCAAGCCAACACTTAACTTCGGCCAAACATGCATGAAGAGACTGAATGGCACATTTATGCCCATGTTTCAGTGGTAAATAAATTTGAAAATCATCCGCATACAGATGATACTGAATCCCAAATTTCTCAAAAATCGAGCCTAGAAGGGAATAATAAAACTGGATCCAGTATAGAGCCCTGTGGAACCCCACACACGAGGGGCAACAGAAGAAAAATAATCCCCTAAACTGACTGAAAAGGTCCTATCCTTCAAATAGGAAGAGAACCATTTCAGGGCTAAGCCCCGAATACCAACCTGATTCCTAAGACGATCAACGAGAATGTTATGATCAACTGTATTAAATGCCGCTGTAAGATCTAACAAAAGCAAAACAACACGGTTTCCAGAATCAACACCTCATAGGATATCATTAGAGACCCTCAAAAAAGTAGATTCTGTACTATGACCTGTACTATGAACAACACTGGAATCTATCGGAAATGTTATTCCTCATTAAAAAGTCATTAAGCTGTGCATGCACAATTTTTTCCAGTATCTTCAAAATAAAAGGCAATTTTGAAATCGGACGAAAACTACTCATGTCAAAGGGGTCTAAGCCGTTTATTTTTAAAAGGGGCTGAATAACCGCATGCTTAAAACTAACCAGAACACCGGATGACAAACTAGTTTTTTTTTGTAAAAAAAAAAAAAAATGTATTTAACCTTTATTTAACCAGGTTTGTCTCATTGAGATATAAAATCTCTTTTTCAAGAGAGACCTGGCCAAGATAGCAGAACAAATTAGATCACACAATCATAAAACAAACACAATCGCAAAACAAACACAAAAGAGGCAAAAGACAACTCAAGTACATTTCAATTTAAATAAAAGTGTCATTAATTAAAACATTTGCCCGTGTGAATGGATTCCTGTTCTATAGTTTTAACATAACCTAATTAGAAACTGTAGTTTAAGTGTTTTCTGTAGTTCATTCCAAGTAGAAGGTGCAAAAAACATGAAAGCCTTTTTGAACAACTCTGTCCGGGCTTGAGGTGTCAATGAAATCGTTTTCTGGGACCATAAACCATAGGTGCTCTGTGCAAAAGAAAGAAATTCAGATATGTAACTTGTAAGCCTGCCTATAATGCCCATATATATAAAGATATAAAGGTGAGTAAGCCGGCGATTTGACAGAGAAGGCAAATTCACTGAGGAGTAAAGTGTACAGTGATGAGTGAGGGGTCTGCAATTAGAAATAAATCTTAAAGCTCCATGAAACACAGCATCTAACATCTGAAGATACTTTGATGGTGCAGTCATATACAACAGATCACCATAATCAATAATAGAGAGAAATGTGGCATCGACTAGCCTTTTTCTAGCAGAAAAAGTAAAACAAGATTTGTTCCTAAAGAAAAAACCTAGCTTCAATTTCAACTTTTTTACTAGATTCTGTAGATGAAGCTTAAAAGAAAGGTGATCATCAATTAAAAACCCTAAATATTTATAAGATGAAACTACCTCAATTGTTTTACCCTGATCAGTAACAATATTCAGGTCTAACTCATTTTTCCTTGCGTTTGAAAAAAACATTACTTTGGTCTTCTCTGCATTAAGCACAAGCTTTAATTGATAAAGCTGTGCTTGCACTATATCGAAACCAGTTTGCAAGCATTCATACGCCTTCCTAATTGTAGCTGCACAACAATAAATAACCGTATCATCTGCATAAAAATGGAAAAATGCATGTTGGGCATTTTCCCCCAGACAGTTAATATAAATAGTGAATAAAAGTGGCCCCAGAATGGAGCCCTGTGGGACCCCTTTACAGATTGATAAATATTTTGATGTTAGGCCATCAACTTGCGTAGCTTGAGTCCTATCAGCGAGGTAGTTGATAAACCAGCCCACAGGTGCTGAGAAATACCTTTACTGATCAGTCTCTGAACTAGTATGCTATGGTCAACAGTGTCAAATGCTTTGGACAGATCAATGAACAGAGACACAGTGTTTCTTATCATCAAGTGCTTTGACTATATCATTAATTACTTTTATAGCAGCAGTGGTAGTGCTGTGTTTTTTCCTGAAACCAGATTGATGCTTAGATAAAATTGACTGAGCATTTAAATACTCTTTTACTTGTTCACTAACCAAAGATTCCAACACTTTGGCCAATGCTGAAATTATAGTATTCATAATAGACAGAATACTTGGGCCAATTGAATCAAGTACCTTCTTAAACAGAGAAGAAGGGAGCACATCACCAGGAGACCTGGTGGGCTTCATATGAGCAGTTATATCATTAAGCTTCTGCAAGGAAACAGGCATACAACTGTTTAATTGGTTTATAGGGTCAACAGAAGCAATAAAATCATTGCCAGCAGATGAAATCTGAGATCTAATTCCATCAACCTTACCAATAAAAAAGTTTAAGAACTCTTCACACATGTCAGCAGAAGGAGTGAATGAAGGCAGGGCTCCAATTTCGGCGCGGGTAATAATAATAATAATAATTCATTACATTTATATAGCGCTTTTCTGGACACTCAAAGCGCTTTACATAGAAGGGGGGGAATCTCCTCAACCACCACCAATGTGCAGCATCCACCTGGATGATGCGACGGCAGCCATATTGCGCCAGAACGCTCACCACACACCAGCTTACTGGTGGAGAGGAGACAGTGATGAAGCCAATCAGTATATGGGGATGATTAGGAGGCCATGATGGACAGAGGCCAAGGGGCAAATTTGGCCAGGATGCCGGGGTTACACCCCTACTCTTTCGAATGACATCCTGGGATTTTTAATGACCACAGTGAGTCAGGACCTCGGTTTAACGTCTCATCCGAAGGACGGTGCTATTTTTGACAGTATAGTGTCCCCGTCACTATATTGGGGCGTTAGGACCCACACAGACCACAGGGATAGCACCCCCTGCTGGCCTCACTAACACCTCTTCCAGATAACGCATATGCGCAAGGGTATTGCGCATAATTCTAATCATTCCCGCAGTTTTTCCATTTATAATGCGGGAAATTCCCGCAATCGTAATCCACACAGATTATAAAATCAAATCATTCTTTTAACAACTATCTGCCAGACGCAATTTCACAAACAACATGAGTGTTCAGCGGTGCTGCGTCTTCTATCTCTTCTCTCAAAATGTGTTGTGCAAGGCATGCATCAAGCGCAGCGGCGATAATACACACTCGCGTTCAGGAGTCGGGACATGACGGATATTCACTTGCACAATCGGGCCAGCAGTGCATCGTGACTGAAGTTTACCATTTGCACGTCTTTTTAAGTCTTACCAGTTTAAACATTAAAGCGATTTTAAACTAATCTAGAGAGATTATTTTCTATGCGCACATTCATAGAAAATCCGCCTCAAAAACAGCTGGCCAGGAACAAAAGTTATTTTTCGCGGATTATATTGCTTTAACACGCAAAATTGTCAATTTTGGTCTTTGTGAGTATACTCTAAACATAGTCGGTTTTGTCTTTAATAAGCATAAAACACATGCCAGTATAATGAACACAGGATCCGTGCACTAGCTCTTAAAGTGACGGCAGCCATATGTGTGTGTCATTAATTTTGTTGTCAAAACAACAAAAGATAGCTTTAAGTTAAAGGAATCAGGATTAATAGCCTATGTATTTAATTTATTCAGGACTAAAATACTACCCAGTGTTATTTTCCATTTGATTACTTAATTCAGTTTCTGTAGGCTATATGAATACTATTAGACCTATTCAAAAACTTTTCTCTTTATTTGTCTTTTTATTCTATTGTATTTATTTGTGCTACTTTTTCAATTTAATTAAACAATTTAAATCAAGCTTCCTTGTGTTGTGTAAATTTACAACCCCATTGTAAAAATGCAATGAGCGCAAACATTTAGGCAAGGTAAATGTAATAAGTTTGTTTGGAAAAAAATGCTTTTCCCTTTCTCCCCCTCAAACAAAAAAAATCCCCCCCATGAGAATCATCTAAGGGGGGATTTCCCCCCCATTTTCCAAAACGAAATTCAGGCCCTGGAAGGAGTAGCAGTATGAAGTACAGCATTTACAGTAGAGAAAAGTACTCTAGAATTATTACAGTTTCTGGAGACGATGTCAGAGAAATAACATCATCATCAGTATTTCAGTATCATCAGTACATCATTCAGTATTTCTGACATCTAGTTGTTGCAGCCCTAGTTCAGTTCAAGTTGGTTTTGATTAAAAACAATTGAAGAGAAATTGTTTGTTGCTGTGGCTTCGACTGGGGCTTTGTTGCTGTTAGTTTCATTTTAATGGACTTTTAGTTTGTTTTCTCAGTCACATATTCTCCTTTGTCTTAGTTTTCCCGCCATTTGTTCTGCTCAGGAGTTTGTAATTTAAACCATCATTTGCCTTGTATTTAAGTGGCAGTCTTTTCAGTTCTCATTTGTCTGGTCACATTTGCCTATATTGTTTGTATTCCCTTCTGAGTGAATTATTAAAGACATTATATCTGATCTTCATCTTCATCGTGTGTTCCTTGCAACCGTTGGTGACACAGGATCAATGTCACTATTATTATTGTTATTTATTAGTTCTTGGTGCTTATCGTAGAATCTGAAATATTTATTGGTCACCTCTCATCATGCATATTATAATTTTTGGCAGAACTACCAGAAAGCATCTGGAAGGAGAGGACCGAGAGAACTCCAGAGATCCAGAACCTGCAGAATAAAACATCATGAAGAACAAAGAGGTTGGTGTTTATTCTTGATTCCTCATTCATTCATCATGATGAAGAACATGCTGATGCTCACCACATTTACATTGCTTCATGACCAAACTAGTGACTTATAACATAAATTATCTTCATGACATTAAAATAGATCATAATCGTGCACAGCAGTTGTTGACCAGATTTGATGGGATTAAAATGACTATTGAACTCATCAGTGATCTTGACTTTGAGCTTCACTTTTCATTTCACATTTGAAATCTCACTTGATTTAATGTTTCTTTTAGACCTGATGGACGTGAACAAGAAAGGAAAAACAGAAGCCAATAAATCTGTCTCCTGCCCTCAGTGTAAAAAAACGCTTCACATGTAAATCAAGTCTGAAGATTCACATGAGAGTTCACACTGGGAAGAACACATGAGAGTTCACACTGGGAAGAAGCGGCTCAGGCTTTCTCTCTGAAATCACATCTGCTTCTCATTCTGAAGAAAGAGCATTTAACTGTGATCAGTGCGGTAAACAGTTTCATTGGGCTTCAGTCCTGAAGAAACACCTGAACATTCAGATTCATTCATCATATTACAGCAGAAAAGACACGACGGTGTGTGTTATGAGAGACATGAATCTGATGTTAATTTTTAACTCGTTCTTCATCAGAACATCTAGTTTCTCTTCCACTTCTACTCTTCCATGCAAACACAAGATATACTTTCATGTATCTTTGAAACTGGACACTTTTCTTCTCTTCTTCTCTTGGGATGATCTGGCTCTTATAAGTCAGTTTTAAGAGCCAAAGCATCTCAAGAGAAGAAGAGAAGAAAAGTGTCCAGTTTCAAAGATACATGCAAGTATATCTTGTGTTTAAAGAGAGAGATCTGTCTCGTTCACTTTCACTTAATGTTTGTATTTGCTTAAAGTAATGATTGATTAAACTCTTTACTCCTTTTTATCAACACCTCATTGTTATTGTCCGTTTTTATTTTCTTTCCAATTTGGCTTGAATAATTTTAGTTCTGAACGTCATGAAGTATCCTGATATGATTGCTTTTTGAGATTTCCATGTTTTCATTTTCTCAATAGAGCTTTTAAATGCCTAATAAATTATATTTCACCCACACATGACTGACACTGAATGAAATTGCTGTCCGTCTACATTATTAACAGTTTCACCCTTGATATCCATTTCAAAGAGTTTGTTCTAGTCAGTTTGATGTTTCATTCACACCATGAGGCTTCATGAAGTCAGAACAATTACTATGAACTTTAAACAAGACTGTTTTTACTAAATAAACTGAAATTACTGTCTCTATCTCACCACAGCAGCTGGAATAAAGAGAAGTGGCGTGTAATCCTTGTTATTTGTATTGGTGTTTTGAAGAAAAAAACATTTACTGCCGATGACGTCATCAATAGCAATGTTTTATCCATGTCATTATGCAGCTGACACTCGGACCCTGAAGTTAGGCACGTCATGACTTTCCAGGTCGCAGGTTTGGGTTGCTCGGCGCCAACATGTCCAGAACAACAACTCAGTCAATCTCCAATAATGCCAGTGGTTCCTTAACCTGCAACCCAGAAGACTAACACACACACACCAACACACTGCTTTTCCAAGGTTGGATTTAGCCAGGCTCAAAGTATAAACAGTAGAGTCGTCTCAAAACATCAAGCTAATATTCTTTCTCTCAAGGATAGCTAGATGTTAGTCTGACTGAAGTAAGACTTTAACAAAGAAATGGTTGAAGACCTTTCTCAAGCACAAAACAAGTCCCTATTTCATTTCTGGAAGCCGGGCTAAATAAGCAAGCACTGTTACTGCATTCAGATATCAAATACAGACATTAGAGAATACACGAAAAGAACATTTCAGTAATCACACTGGTAACTTCTGTAACAAAGTAAAATCTCACAAGCCTAGAGAAGTCATTCAACTCATTTAATACTTAGAAGGAAAAATATTGATTAATACCTTGATTATAATTACTCATCATTGCATATAGATTGAAGCAGCAGTGGACTCCAATCCCCCGCCCCTTTCAGCACACTGTTGTACAGAAGAGGCCGTAAAAGCCTCTCTCACAGTTTGAGGTTACGCACCGGTGTACCAACACATCCTCATCCTTTGGCGTCATATAGGTGACGCCATATGACATTTCGTCGAAATCTTACGCACATGACATCCTTTAGCGTCAATATTACACGCACTGTTATGGGTAGGTTTAGGTCTAGGGTAGGGGTACGGTTATGACGCCTTGGGATCTGCGTCTCATATTGACGCTAAAGGATGCCATGTGCGTAGGATTTCGACGAAATTTCAAAAGCGTCACCTGTATGACGCCAAAGGCCCATGAGAACGGGCTGGGTTATGCAGGAGTGGCGGCGTTAAAGCCTTTCTCCCAGATAGAGTTACCTTTCCTTCTTATACCCTGAGCAAAGCATTGTTAAACTTGAGTGGAATACCAACACCGAACCTTACCGACAGGAAACCAAAAGATGAGGCAAATGGGTAGTGATCAAGAGGAATCTGTATATATTTTGCTTTGATCTGAACTGACAAATTAGACATTCCTGTTGGTTGAACACGAGTTAATAGATATTAATCAATCAACAGTGTCCTGTGCTCACCACACACCGACTATAGGTGGAGAGGAGAGATTTGGCTATAGGGTGATGTGTGTAGGGCTGTAACGGTACATGTATTCGTATTGAACCGTTTCGGTACGAGGCTTCCGGTTCGGTACGCATACAAACCGAACGATTCCTTGGACCATTTTTCCTGCAGACAAAATTCGCGCTGGCGCGATCACCACAACGTTGCGCAACATCAAATGGCAAACGTAATGAAAGCGGAACGAAACTGCGCTACTCATTATGTGCTTCACGGATCGTTTATCAGTTCGGACCAGCAACATCTGTGCAGCGCGAGCCGATCTCGATCAAGCGACACTGTTACTACACAGCGCTAAGAGATCCAGTAAAGAAAACATTTGAATTCGCCACTGAAGTAATAACATCGCTGCGAGATCTAGTGAGAAGCATTCACATTTCTCTGTTATTAACCGTAGATCTCTATCAGATCAAACAGCGCTGACGTGGACACCAGGAGAAATATTGTGCTGTGAATGAACTAGTAATACTTTACGTCCACAGACCAGCAACATTCACCATGGATTTAATATAGTAACACTAACTGTAACCAGTTTGGCTGGAATAGTGAAATGCTTCCAAGTACTTCACACATCTTTTTCCAGCACTTATTAAACTCAAATATTATATAAATAAATATATGAAGAGTTCAGATGCAAAAGCCTCTAAGTGCCATTTGAAATTTTCTTCTAGAATGATCATTTTTATGAAGCTTGTATATTTAAGTTCAGTAATTTCACTCAAATGACAATTAATAGGTAATCTTCATTGCCATTTAAGTGAAATTACTGAACTTAAATATACAAGCTTGATAAAAAATAAAGAAAATTTCAAATGGCTTTTGCATCTGAACTCTTCATATATTTAAATGTTATTTTTAATGTGATGACCAAAACATTAGTTGTTCATCCTTCAAAGATGACGACCATTTATAAACCTGAAAGTTTCAAGATGTAGGAAAACTCACACTTATTTAAAAAATATTTTTTCTTTTAACAAATAGGAAATTTCTCTGGCATTTCTTACTTTTTGCTGTATCGAAAACGTACTGAACCGTGACTTTAAAACCGAGGTACGTACCGAACCGGGATTTTTGTGTACCGTTACACCCCTAGATGTGTAACTTACACAGAAGAGACTTTGTTGCTCAGCACATGAAAATAAACTACTTACCGTGATCTCAGACTGTGGTGATGTGGTTTCTCCACTGTGTGGATCTTCATGTGTCGCTTCAGGCGAGTTTTAATAGAGAAACTCTTCCCGCACTGATCACACATGTGCGGCTTCTCTCTGTTGTGGATCCTCTCATGTGTTTTCAGAGATGATGAGGAACTGAATCTCTCGTCACAGTGTGAACACTTGTAAGGTTTTTCTCCAGTGTGGATCCTCTCATGTCTTTTCAGATGTTGTGACAGACTGAATCTCTTGTCACAGCAAGGAAAGTTGTCTATATTCTTTAAATAAAACTTTTACTTTATTTTATTCTTTAAAACAGACGGATGACCAGCAGCATGTATTAGTACTGTAGCAGAGCAGTTTTACTCACACGAGTAAAACACAATTTTTTTACTTAGAAAACTTAGAACCGTTTTTTCTTTTGACAAACCTACATTTCAAATTATACCTGAGGTGTGTAATAACAACCACAAGGGATACACATTGATCCCTAAGCTCCGGGTACAGTGCAAACATGCAATAATCAAGAAATCAAATCTTAGTGTAATCTTTGTGAGGTCAGAAAACAAAACTTTATGTTGAGTGATCCAGATAAATCTTTATGCTAGAAAATATCATGGAAGTCAATAGCACTTTAAACATCCAGCACAAAATTAAAGAGATGAGCTTAGCGTGCAACTGTGTAATAGTCGAAACATCCTATGTAAGATTGCCATATCGGGTCACGTTTCTGTAGTTCTAATGAGGACAATTCCACTTCCAACCTGTAGGGCGACCGCAGAGGAAAAGTTCCTTGGTGTTGCTTTAAAGTCTGCACAAAAAGAAATTCCACCCCATCTACGTTCTAAAGGCGTGTTATGAATCTATTGTGAACAATTCACACATGCAGATGTTCTGACCCTGTAATGTTTAATAAATATTTTGTAACTGGATTGAGTGAAAATAAAAACTTCTCTCTGGTGCCATGCAGGACTTGTTGGTACTTCTGTAGCATTGTGACAGTAGTTTACATAGTTTTATGGCTTCCTGATGACAACCACACAGTACACTAGAGGATGGATACCCAAACCCGGGTTCGGACACATATTTTGAAATGACGTTCGGGTTCGGGTCGGGCTCGGTCACGTCGGCGCAATAAGGCATTGAACATTTGAAATTTAAAACAGCTTATTATAATGTTTAACTGGATGCAAATGTTTGTTTTTGTGATTAAAATAAATTTAAAATATCACCCTAACATCCAACTTCATGTGTGCGGAAATTTGTTTATGTTGCTGTGACAACGCGCAACACGTGTGTGCATAATATTGCATATTTGGCTACATGTGGCTGGCAGCGCAACGATGGAAGACGTTAAAAAGAAGTTGGCCTCAGGAGATTTTAAAACCAGCCTAAACATTGAAGGATGGATTATGTGAATAGATCCCATGTTACAGTTTTATTAGCCACACAGTTTGAGAAAAATGGTAAGAGTGATTTCCATTTCAATAAGCTGCATATGTGTTACGTTAATGTTTTGTTCTGTTAGCTTTGGCAATTTTTGGTAGACCTAGCTTTGTTCATTTAATTTCAATTGGCTATTATTGTATTATTATATTGTTTGGGCCTCTTGTGCGCGCCTGTGTTAACATGCGCTTTGTTGGCCGTGTGCGGCGCACGCAGGTGCGTTGCGCACATCTGTAAACATTTTTTTTCATAGAACATCTTTTATCATTACACAGTGCGTTTAGGCCCCATTAACACATTTGTCCCCCAGAAGAACGTTTCTTACTGTACGTTCACACCGCCGCCGACTTGAGCGTCGAAGAAGCTCTGGCCGCCCTGTCAAGGACGCTTGTCAAAAAGTACGGGGAAGCTTGTTGACGCTTTGAACGCTCTGACGTTGCAGGGAGAATAGAAGTGTCACAACATGAATGTAATAAACAGAAAAAAACAAGCAATCCATTGAAGAAACCTTTTATAATGACAGCATTTTTATAACCGTTTTGGTCACATTTGGTCGGGAAAAAAAGAATAGTTGGCTATTATTATTATTATTATTATTATTTGCGGTCAAATCGGTGTCACCGTGAGCAAATGAATTGCATTCCCGCTTTAAAACGAGCGTTCGTAAATATTTCAAATAAAAGTTGCGCTCATGCGGTCCCTATAAGCAAACAACGTTGTGTCATAAATGATAGGAAAGGAAACCCAGCAACGGCGATTATTAGCTTCTCTTCCATTTTCTCGGAACTAATGTTTTGGTAGGAACGAAAGTTTACATCGTATGTTTTTCCGGAATCAGCCGGCGCGAAGGACGTCTATATTCCGATTGGTTGCTGGCGTTTTGCCGCTGCTTGCCGCTGAACCGCGTCATAGCTCATTACCATAAAGTTGAGCTTCTTTCAACTTTCTGATTGACGCTCAAAACGCCCAAAACACGACGCCGATGGATTTGACGCTCCTTGCAGCTGAGAAAAGCCAGCTTCCATTGAAAATGAATGACTTCCGGTAGCTTTGGAAGCTCAAGTCGGTGGCGTTGTGAACGTACAGTTAGGATTTTATGAGACATCAAAAACAACAGCAGACACACTTTTTCAGCTTTTAAAAGACGTTCTTCTGATGAGATTCGCCCTGCCAGTCAATAAATGCAGAGGACAGTGCTATGACGGCGCATCAAATGTGTCCGGTATTCGAACAGGTCTGCAGGCTCGCATGCAGGCGCTGGAGCCTCGAGCACAGTACATCCATTGCACCGTACATGTTGTGAATTTGGTTGTGCATGATGTCTCCCGAAAACATTCCTGCATGTCGCAACTTTTTGACAAATATATACGTGACCTGGTCACGCTCATCAGAAATTCACCAAAGCGCCTGGTTCCAGGAGTTTTCAAGACGACAAATCTTCATCTCTTAGACCTCTGTGCCCTACCAGATGGACCTTGAAAACGGCCTCGTTACAATCCATTGCATCCAACTACAGTGTGCTGCTGGAATTTCTGGAGGACCTGTCTGAAAAAGAAAGGGGAGAGGAAGGAGGGAAAGCAAACGGTCTTCTAACGCACCTGCTAAATTTTAGCACTTTTTTCTCCTTGAAACTCATGCTGAAATTCTTCTCTCGCATGGAAACAGTCAATGTTGCACTTCAAAACACGATGTTGAAGATTTTGTAACCGGGAAGGCCGACTGTAAAGACATTATTCAGTTCTATGGGGATGATATGGATGGAAGCAGGCTGACATTGCATAGAGACATGTGTTTGGACTTGGAAAAACAGAAAGGTGTTCATCTTGCAACTTTTCAAGATGTATATGACTTCATGAAAGGAGATGGAGGCAAGCACTTGAGAACGTTACTACCAGAAGTCACAAAGCTTTTGAAACTGGCTCTGACTGTCCCTGTAACATCTTGCTGCTCAGAGAGGTCATTTTCTGGGATGCGCCGACTGAAAACGTATCTACGGTCAACAATGGGACAAGCCTGACTAAATCACATTGTTATAATGAACTCTCACAAAGAAGTGGCTCTTCAGCAGGACCTGGACATCATCGCTGATAATTTCATCAAGCGCACTGCTGTACGGAGAGACAAGTTCCTCCTGAAGAATTAACCACAATGGTGAGTCAACAAATCAAATTTTTACTGTGTGGACATGTGTGACATTGATTCTTAATTTCCCACGAAGCTGATCGCGGTTACGTGTCAGTTAAACTTTTCATCTCCAATCCTGTCTGTATTTGTGAGAAGTGGTGATGTCCTGCGTTGAAAGATACGGCTTTATTACCAAGTAAATAGGTGTGTGTTCGTGTCTGCCGCTGTTCATTTCCTAAGGTTCTGAAATGCAAACATTTTTTGACAACTTTTTTTTTTTAAAGGATATGCGCCCATCAGCACCCACGGAGGACAACATAAATCGGCGCCTATGTGTGGATCCTCTCATGTTTTTTCAGATGTGATGACACACTGAATCTCTTGTCACAGTGTGAACACTTGTATGGTTTTTCTCCAGTGTGGATCCTCTCATGTGTTTTCAGATGTGATGACCGACTGAATCTCTTGTCACAGTGTGAACACTTGTAAGGTTTTTCTCCAGTGTGGATCCACTCATGTGTTTTCAGAGATGATGAGGAACTGAATCTCTTGTCACAGTGTGAACACTTGTAAGGTTTTTCTCCAGTGTGGATCCTCTCATGTGTTTTCAGATGTGATGAGGAACTGAATCTCTTGTCACAGTGTGAACACTTGTAAGGTTTTTCTCCAGTGTGAATTCTCTGGTGCAGTTTTAAATCCTTTGCTGTAGTAAAAGTCTTCTCACACTCAAAGCACATGTACTCTCTCACACCAGTGTGTATTTTCTCATGTCCATGTAAATGATGCAGCCGTGAAAAACTCTTTCCACACACAGAACATGAATACGGCTTCTCCTTTGTGTGAACTCTCAGGTGTCTCTTCAGCTCTGATGCACTAAGAAATGTTTTTCCGCACTGATCACATGTGAACGGCTTCTCTCCGGTGTGGATCCTCATGTGAATATTAAGGTTTGCTGATAGACTGAAACTCTTCCCGCACTGATCACATGTGAACGGCTTCTCTCCGGTGTGGATCCTCATGTGAACATCAAGATGTTGTTTGGTGTCGACACTCTTTCCACACTGACTGCAGTTGAAAGATTTCTTGGCTCTTCGTTTCTTTAAAAAATTATTTTTAGTTTTTGAGCGACTCAAGGGTTTTCCTCCAGGTTGGACATGATGTTCCTTCTCCACTTCACTCAGTTCTTCTCTCTCCTCCTTCACTTCACTCAGTTCTTCACTCTCCTCGCTCTCTTCCATCAGATCTGACATGAAAGAAACTCATTTTAAGATTTTCTAAATAATCAAAAGTTCAATAAGAGAAATATGGAGTTAATGATGATTAAAATTATCCCAGATGTAACAGACAACTTCTATAAAAAAAATACACTATGTATTTTTTATAAATTAATTATACGTCCCTGAAACTTTCCATGAATGATATACACTGATCTTTTAGTTATTTTTTCCACAAATCCCATGTTTCTGTAGTGAGAACTATTAAATATGTTTGATCAATGACACTTATCTAACGTATAAACATTAAAATACACAATACTACCATATTTTGACACCAACTTTTAGATTGATATTTAACTACTAAAACGTTTTAATTAAGGGCCGTTGACACTGAACTTCTTCCATTGACTTCACATGCATGTGAAAATGTTCTGGGTTTATTTTCAACAAATGGTCTGTAAAGGGAGGTTTCATATTTATTGTCAAGATCAGGCCAAACTAAATCTAAATATTTTAACTTTTTTTTATTTTACAACATATGGTTTACAATTTGTACGATGTTATCAGAATATTGACTAGGGCTGTCAAAATTGCTCAAAAATGACGTTCGAATATTCCCTCTAAAAAACACACATATATTCGACCTATTCGAACATCTGGTTGCGCATTTTGTCAATGGCGCGCATTACGTTCATAACAGGACAAATTAATACAAAGAGACACAACTACTCGTATAGGTAGTTTAAGTTTAAACATATTTGACAACGTATTAACTTACACAAAACCAAGTAAATCAACTAATGGCCAAGACCGCAGACCTTACTCTCGCTCGCACTCGCAGGCACTCTCTCTCTCTCTCTTTCGCCCTCACGCTCTCTGCGCATAACGGTTTAAATGAACAACAATAAACAAATGTTGAGTGCTGATCAAGAGTTTTGTGCAAGCAATTTAAGGTTGCGACTCTTGTCCTAAATATAGCAGGCTTCATTCGGTGATTGAAACAAATATTATTAATATTAATTGAAGTTTTACAGTATATAGAACCGACATTAAACGCTCCGAGCGTGCTGTGCTGTGGTAAACTGCTGCTAGCCTGCTACTATGGCTATTTCGAGGGCTCTGGCCACGCCCCCATTGGCGGGCTCTGACGTGTCTGATGTAATGCTAGCTCATTGGCGCACACGTTGGAGGCGCCCGTGCCATTGGATGTGCAGTTGACGCAGCACAGCCAATGAGTGAGCCAGACACTCACTGTGCTAGCTGTGCAGCTGGAAAATGCGTTTTACATTTTAAGCTTCAGAATGTTGCCACTCGCAAAGCAGACAGCCGCGCCTCTGCTACCGCGGGTGTGTTTTTCCACATGATTCGAATATTAATTTTCACCTTCGAATTTCTGTTTTTTAAAACTATTCGAATATATATTCGAATTTAGAATATTCGTTGACAGCCCTAATATTGACCGAAAGTTTGTGAGTAGTTTTAATAATTGTCCAAAATGTACAAATTTTACAATCTACTCTGCTTTACTGTAAACATTTGTGTTCTTTCTTGCAGTGAAATTCACTTGATCTAGTGTTTCTTGTGTCCCATTTCATAGATGTGATGTGATTTAAATGATTATTGCAGTAAGCTCCACTAGGAGGCGCTGGTGGTTTTTGTATTGTTTAGCTCTGCTTGTTTTACAGCAGATGACCGGCTCTCGGGCAGTTGTAATATTGTTGATAAATACTTGACGTGTCTGTTCTCTGCTCTTGATAAATCCTGTTAATAAATCGTTGAAGACTACTTCCAGGAATCTGTGAATTCATGACATGGTGTCAGAAGTGGGACCTTTCGCCCTGTGAACAAGATAGAAGCAACGAGATGGCTAAGTTTCAGTCTCCTGAATCATTTGACTTCACCCAGCCTTCGGCGTGGCCGATCTGGAGACAGCGTTTTTCCCGTTTTCGGATAGCAACTAAGCTAAACCAAGAAGACGACGATATACAAGTGAATACGCTGTTATACGCAATGGGGAAAGAGTCGGAACCTATCTTTAGCACCTTTACATTTCCGGATGATGTTCAGCACTATTATGAAGAGGTTTTGAAAAAGTTTGATGAACATTTTGTGCCAAAGCGGAATACGATACATGAACGTGCCTGTTTCCACAAACGCTCACAGCTCCATGGGGAGAGTTTGAGCAACGAAAGACGAACAGATAAGGGAGCGCATTGTAATTGGCATCGCAGATGGAGAAGTGTCGCAAAAGTTACAACTCGAACCGGATTTGACATTGGAGAAGGCATTCAGTATTGCGCGACAGTCGGAGCTTATTAAAGCACAAAACGCCAGCGCAACAAATGTTGAGGTGGGTGCCGTTAATGCACGCAAGTACAAGCAGCCTAAGCAGTATGCCAAAAACAAAGATGAACATTTCAAGAACGTGACACATCAAACAATGAAAATGTGCACAAGATGTGGGAGACAGCATGATTACGGTGCATGTCAAGCTACAGGTAAATGCAATAAAACGGGACATTTTGAAGCACTGTGTAAAACTAAGAATTAGGGCCGGGACTCGATTAAAAAAAAAAAATCTAATTAATTAGAGGCTTTGTAATTAATTAATCGAAATTAATCGCATTTTAATCGCATAAATATTTATCGCATATAAAAGAACTGTGAGAAGTAATTTTTTCACATGGATTTTTAGTATACCATTGAATAATGACTGCATACATAAGCTTAAGCAACAAAATATTGTTTATTTTTGTTCAACCAAGTCCAGCAGACCAGTGCAATTTTTGCCATTAAGTGTAGCAATAGCATATTGCAACCAAATAGCATATTGCTACACTACACTAATAGCACTACACTAATAGCCAAAATAGCCATTAAGTGTCGCAATAGCATATTGCAACAAAATTGCATATTGCTACACTACACTAATAGCAATAGCGAATTCCTTGTTGCATAGCTTGCACACAACCATGCTCTTATCGACGCGTCCATCCGTTCGTTTTTTGTAACAACATTTCCCAGCCACCGGCCAACCAAAGCGATCTCGTCAGCTTCTTCGTCATGAACGCTAGTTGGTGCGCCAGTATAATCGGTCCGCCGAAACTCATCCAGTGAGAAACGTTCCGCGGTGCAAAAATAAGTGCGCTTAAAAATAATTTGTGTAATTAATTAACGCGTTAAAGTGTGTAATTAATTAATCTTAATTAACGCGTTAAAGTCCCGGCCCTACTAAGAATGTGAATGCAATTAAAACTACTGACGGTGACAGTGATGAGGGCAGTGCATGGTTTCTCGGGGCTGTTGCTGATGGCAGTGAAGGTGATGAGGACAAATGGTATGAAGACCTACAAATCAATGGCACAACTGTTATGTTCCGGATTGATACAGGCGCGGATGTAACGGTGATTCCTGAGGAAACATATTCATCCCTGCAACAGCGCCCTCTCCTGGTGAAGACAAAATCAACCTTCACAAGCCCAGGTGGAAAGCTAATATGTAAAGGCAAGTTTATGACTCACTGTGAAAAACATGGACAGACTTTCCCATTTTGGATGTATGTTATGTCAGGCCCCTTCACAACAAACTTACTTGGACGGAAAACTGCAATCAAAATGGGACTAGTGCGTAGGGTTGTGCGATGTCTACCAATTTGGCATCAGACGATGTGTACAGTGAAACATCGCGATGGACGATGATATCGGGAGGAGGGGCGGGGCTAACATTCTAATTTTTCACTTAAGCAATAAGCCCCGCAAAGCCGTGTTTTACAGTGGATTTAGAACAGCTAAGAGGCGTAGGCACAACGCGGAGATATTTTCCTCTACATCTCATCAGCAATTTTGATGTCGGCACGCTCTGCAGCAGCTGAGCACTGAGCAGCGAATGTACAGTGACGTGACAGAACTGCCAGATTCAAACTGTGCTTTCGCGCTGTGGCTGCACTGAGCCAGAGACGGACGTGCTCAGCGCTTGTCATATTATATCACAACTATTCAGTGTTTTTAACCACATAATGTTTATTTTAGGTTTCAGACATTTAAATGCATATCATTTAGCAAAACAATACATTTATAGTTTGTAAAATACACAATGGTGTCTATGGAAGCAGCAATTACAACCCATTCAAATATATTTGCCGACGGATTTCATTCATATCAGACACACAGTGTAAGTAACTATAAAAATAACTATATTCTTCTCCCAGTTCACCGGCCATGCATTTCGGGAGAAACTGATGAATTCACGTGCTGTAATAAACCCAATAGACATGAATCTCTGAACTGCGGTCTGAACAAACATTACGGCGCCCATCTCGCGGTACAGATCAAAATTTATAAAGGTTTTTTAAACAACAAAAAAAACTCACTTACACGTATTTGAAAATCGGAGAGAAGATAGTTGATGACATGGTAATCAGGTTTGTTAATATTTAGAAATAAAAGCGCTAACGTTACATCTGTCATACAGCGCTATTTTGGCTGTGGTGAATCACGTGCCAAGCATGACGCGTCACCATGGAAACATGGGGGGGGGGGGGGAATCGCGATGCTGGCTTAACATCGTGATGTCTCACGATGGACGATGATATCGTCTATCGGCACAACCCTACTAGTGCGCAGAGTAAATGGACTCGAGTCATACGATGATGTATTTGGGAACATTGGACTGTCAAATTGTGAGCCAGTCAAAATAGAGCTTAGGCCGGACGCCAAGCAGCATTGTAACCCCACGACGCATCCCATTTCCAATCCTACCTCAAGTGGAGGAGGAACTGAAGCGAATGCAGTCTCTTGGCATCATAGAAGAAGTAAAGGAAGCCATGGACCGGTGTGCTCCTATGGTGCCAGTGATTAAAAAGAACAAGAAACCTCGGATCTGTGTGGATCTTACCAAACTGAATAAAGCTGTGAAAAGAGAACGGTTCATCCTGCCCACGCTAGAGGATATTGCACCAAAACTGTCAGGAGCAACAGTGTTCTCCACAGTGGACGTTGTGGGCTCAAGTGGGTTTTGGCAGA